GAACACGAACGAGCTCGAACGAGTTTTTGTTCGCGAATGTTCAGCTCGTTTACAGTTTTAGGTGTGATGGTTACATTGCCATTATATAATCTAGAGGTCTCAAGTCCAATTAAATTGAATGAGATGGTGAGCTTCAAATTACAATTGGGTTTTCTTATTTTATAGAACTATTATGTTGATTGAAATCAATTTTTGCTTGCAGAGTTACAATCATGGAGAAATACTTTCGAAAAGTAGCAAATTTAGAGGAACCTTCAACTCTTTTGTCATCTAAGAAGAAAAGTAAGCTCGATAATGAAATTCAAAGAGCACTGAATCTAGCAAAAATCAAAGAGCACCGAACTTGACGAACTTTTGGAAAATCTCCCCCCCAAATCCGGCACGCCGGAAGCGTATCTTAGATTACGATCCAAATATCCGCGATCAAGTTAGACGATATTATCTACTCAAGGGCCCCTATCAACCTCGAAGCCATAAGTGCGAGATGTCTATGGGACTAAGCGCATGTTTAATTCTTCTTAGTTCGATGATCATATTGAGTAGTTAGAGTATAGCATAGAGAAAGATGCTATATTTTGCCTTTGTTGTTATCTTTTTAAATCAGAACATGGTGATCAAGGGGGTAGCGATACGTTCACAACTACAAGTTATAATAATTGGAAAAATAAACAGGGAGTCAAAGATCATGTCGACACTATGGGTAGTGTTCATCATCGTGCTCTGTTAAATTGCCAGGCTTTAATGAATCAGAAACAGCACCTTGAGTCACTCAGTAGTCGTCAAGTGGAATTCTCGAAACAGAATTATTATACTCTCTTGAATGCTTCAATTGATTGTGTTCGTTTCTTGTTACGACAAGGTCTTGCTTTTCGTGGTCATAATGAATCTGAATTCTCAAATTGAAGCATAATGATGGTGTTAAGGCCGTCACAAATGCACCTAGAAATCTTCAGCTGAAGTCGCGTAGTATACAAAAAACATTATAAATGCAGTTGTTGTTGAAACCTTTTTTTTCATGGTGACAAGAGTCCTGAATCTTGTTGGAGCATCTTGTAAATATCGTGATCTTCTTCGGGAGCAAAGATAAAATGAACTAATAGAAACTCTCTGCAATGATGAGCTCCCAAGTGGAAGAGGACTAAAACAAGAAACTGCTCTTAAACGACCAAGTGACACACGTAGGGGTTCTATTATAATATTTTTTTGAGCATTATCTCTATGTTCTCTTCTATTATTAAAGTTATTGAAATGATAATCGAGGATGGGGCTAGTGCTGATCAAAGAGGAGAATGCAATTTGTTGGTTGTACAGATGCAATCCTTTGGTTTCGTATTTTGTCTTTTTCTAATGAGACAAATTTTAGGCGTAACGAATGAGTTATCACTAGCATTGTAGAGGAATTATCAGGATATTGTCAATGTCATGGATTTGGTCAGGGCAAGTAAACAACAACTACAAAGAATGAGGAGGAAGAATGTGAATGGGAAAATTTCTTGCAGAAGGTAAATTCTTTTTTGTAATAAGCACGACATTAATATTCCAGACATCGATGCTATGTTTGTTGTTCAGGGAAAATCTCAGCGTATGGCTGAGAAGTTAACGGTCTTTCATCATTATCGAGTGGATGTCTTTTACTCGGTGATTGATAGACAACTTTCAGATTTGAACGATCGCTTTAATGAGGTAAACACCGAGCTTCTCATTTGTGTTGCAAGCTTGACTCCGGATGATTCATTTTCTGCTTTCGACAAGCAAATGTTACTCCGCTTGCTAAATACTATTCGAGAGATTTTTCTGAAAGAGATTTGTTAGCACTTGAAGACAAGCTTGATATCTACATCACTGAGATGCGAACGAATATTAATTTTTCTCAACTTAAGGGACTCGGTGGTCTCACAAAAAAAATAAAAATTGGTGGAGACAAGAAAGCACATAACTTATGCATTGATCTACAAGCTTCTAATTTTGGCTTTAGTTTTTCCGGTTGCTACACCTTCAGTGGAAAGAGTATTTTTGGCTATGAATCTCGTGAAAAATCTACTCCGTAATAGAATGGGAGATCAATGGATGAATGATAGTTTACTTGTTCATATTGAGAAAATATGTATTTAATAGCAATAGCAATGATGCTATAATGCATCAATTTCAAAATATGAAATCGCGTCGTGGACAGTTACCTTCCCGTCATTGACTAAAAAGTTGTATTCTTTTTTTTTTTTTATAAATTGAAGTGAATTATTTAAAAAAATTTAAGTATATTATTTTTCGTATTGCCCTGGCTGGTAAAAAGTTCTGCATCCGTCACTGTTTATAATTACTATTTAATCTCACGGGTTGCACACTAATTTTTTCTTAGAAAAGGATCAATTCTTTTCGATAACTCATATAATACACGAGTATCATACTAGGTAGTAACTTTTTAGATAGGCTTGATCTCACGTAAATCCCAAAGATAGTTAAAAATAAATAAAAGCCTTGTGACTAACTATAGCCATTTAATTACATAGAATCCTAAATGTCAAACATAAAATCCTTGTAATTAATTAACTATTGCCATTAACGTAGGGTTAGTTACGCATACGAGAAGATTACTCACTCATGTGGCAAATTTGATCTTAAAAATGTTCCAAAAAAGACTGCTATTGTAGCCATTAACATAGGCATAAAAGACTGTCTTATAATCAACCTTTTTAACAATTTAGTCCTATATTATTTGAATTCTTTTTACAATTATTATAACATATAATAATAGAAATTAAGAATTTCCAAAAAATAATATTTTCAAAAACTTAATAGATAATAAAGGTTACAATAAGATATGGACAAATAAGCCATGTAACTAAAAAATGTTATCACATTTACACTACATTAATTAAATAAATAGATAATAAAGGTTACTTCACTACATAAAATCTCATGATGAATATCTGTAAATTAATTTCAGTCTTAAGTTCATAAAAAATATAGGCAAACATGTAATCAATATCCAAGACTAAGAAGAGTAATTTTAATGTAAGAGCCTCTTAGTTTCCAATATCGTGTTGAGCTTAGGTGGCAGATTCTCACGCTT